GATGAGGAGTTTCAATCTTTTTACAACTGCCTTCCTAAGTTAAAATTTTAACCTGCATAACTAGATCCCTGACTGTCCAAACTGCACACCCCCAGTCTCCAATGATTAATTCACCCTCATTGTAAACTCTAAACCCCAAACTCCTTCTGTAACCTGGGTGGGGGCATTTCCCATACCCAGAAAATGACCTTCCTGTTCCTGATGGATTGATTTCACTGCAGAATAGAGGAAAGCTTGCTGATCTGAGGTTTGCTTCCTCCTGCCTCCATCACTTGTGTACTATGTGCTTACAACCACATTGAAAAAGACTGGGATTGCGGCTTAGCGGTAGAGCGCTTGCCAAGCACTGGCGGGACCTGGGTTCCATACTCAGCATCACATAAAAATAAAGGCATTGTGTTGTGTCCATCTACACCTAAAAAATAAATATTTAAAGAAAAAGACTCTCAAAAAACAAAAAAAGCCTAATGTTAAATATCAAGGAACTTGGAAAATAACAAATTAAGGGCAAAGTTAGTAGAAAACAGAAATAGTAAAGATTCCAGTAGAAACAAATGAACTAGTGCAAAATCAAAAGAAGTGCTGGTATTTGGAAAGACAACCTAAATCAACATTTAGCTACACTAACCACACTCAGATTTCTAAAACAGCTTTATTTAGCCACTATTGTATCTTCATTTTCTGCCGTCTTTTATTAAATGTTCAGGTATTGAAAATTTGTCTACATTTTACAGATTTGATTTCCCATTTTCTTTCTTAATAATGCAAATTCCATTCCCGCAAAGTTGTTTAATAGATGGGGGGGCGGATTACATGTAGGAAATTCATGTGATATCCTCTTTGGGAACTTTACCATTGAAGACACTTCTTCTTTCTCTGGAAGATCTGTTATCTATTCCTCATATCCTATGAAAAGAGAAAATAAGTTGACCTTTTCCAATTCTTTCTAGCAAAAGTCAACAAAAACTTACCTAATTTGAAAATGTTAACCACAAAATATTGATAGACAATCAAAGTTTTTCTACTCTGAGATTTTATTGTTATTTTAATATTTAGGGATCAAATGCCTTAAGGAAGTATTACCTTGGGTGTGAATTTGACAAAGAAAAAAAGGTCAAATATTTGAAGTAAACCCAAAACTTGTTGTCTCCAGTGAGAAAAAAATTTGTGCATAATCAGTGAATCTCTACTTTTAGCAAATCATCTTCTGAATTTATTTTCTAGGAAAGAAATGAGGATGAAGAGCAATGCTATTACTACCTCTCCTGGAAAATTGTTCCTTTTGTAAATTTTGTAAATGAGGAGCATCACAGATTAATAACATACACACTATATAACATCTTATAGGTTCCATACTTTGCTTCTCCACAAGTCAGAAGTCTCCTGGTTCTGGCTTGCACTTTTAAGACTATCATATGCAAATAGGCTCCCAATTTGTAACTCCAAAAGATGCTGAGTCTCCCTCCACATTCAGACCATCTTTTCTTGATCTCTATGACACTGTTGTCTCATGCTTTTTCATCTTTTTCCTAATTCCTTTTGCAAGATTTTTATTTCCCTTATTAACCTTTTAATGCAGAATGGAAAATAATCTTGCCTTGTGAATTCGATTACCATTTATTCCTTATAATGGATCTAATATAACTAATGGTTCTCTATCTGTAAGCTGTTTCTACCTAAAATAAAGAAGAATACAACCCTGTGCTCTTTTCCAACCATTTCTCCTACAAATTCTCATGGAATTTAAAGTGGAGGGGGAAAAACCCTGAAATAAAGTAAATTCTCTGTAGTCTTCTGGTTTGATTTCAACTCTGGGAAAAAGTAGCAATTGCCTGCACTTTAGTTCCTCTTCTGAAATAGCTTTCTGAAACATCTCATTCCAATATCACCAACACAATTTCTACATAACAAGATCTAGGAGTTGGCAATGGAGTGTGTATGTGCTCAATATTTCATCCTTGCCCTTTAAGGTTAGCTCTGCTCTTCACTCAAATTTTGGAACCTAAAATGTGGTTCCAGGCTTTTAGCATTTGCCTCTGTGGTCCAGAACACCATAATAATCTAGATGTAACCTCCAACCCCCTAAAGTTATTTTTAGTGGTAATTATAAAGGACCTTATAGCACCCTTTCCTCAATCATATTATCTAAAAATTTTTGAGGTCCATTTAATCAAGTGAACAGGTGGTGTGGGGTAGGGGCACAGTTCTGACTCCAACTGGGGCTCTGGGATCTAAGCCTGAGCAGCAAAGTGGCAATAGGCCTGCCCAGGAACTGGGTGATGAGCCAAAGGAAGCTAAGAGTTGAGTCCTGAGTAAGGGAGAGCCTTATAACTAAGGGAAAGATTAAAGAATTGAGTCGAAGAGAGGACACTGGGTCACCTAAGGTAATAGGTAAGATGAAGTGAATTAATTTAGGGAAAGTGTGCAAAGATTCCTTAAGGCAAAGTTCGTTTTTGTTAAGTTTTCTGGGTTGAGTATGAATTGAGGAACAAAGGAAGCAATTACATCCCCAACTGAGTCCAAAAATTTTAACACTTCTCCATAAAAATTGTGGGGTTTTTTTTTTTACCAACTCTAGTGTAGCTATTGAAGTTATAAGAGTATGTCTCAGAAAGGAGAACAATGAAATCTGCTGTTACGTTTCCCATTCATACTTTAATTTTGATGGTGGAATAAGTAAGGAAGGGATTTTCAACTGTCAGTTACTGGAAAGGCCCAGGACAACCCATAAAATAAATGGAAGTACTTGCCACCAACATTCCAGGTGTTTACAGGAACCGTTACTCCTCTTGAATAAATGTTGGTTCTATATCTGTTCAAAATAGTGGTGAATGTAGAATTAGGCTTATTTTCAGAATAGTTAGGGTTAAAATTATTTTATTAGATAGAGCACATTTATATAATATTTTGTTTTCCTTGCTTTATTATATAGAATTCTCTTTTTAATCTATCCACAGAAGAATTAAAGCATTTGATTATAAAAAATCAATTAAAATAAATGGAATGTCATTTAAAATATCAATAATTAGTAATAAATTTAACAATTGCTTATTTTATTTTCTGTATCCCCTTACTAGAATGTAAACTCTGTGAAGGCAAGGGTTTGATCTTTTTTAAAAAAAATATTTATCTTTTTAGTTATAGGTGGACACAAAATCTTTATTTTTATGTGGTGCTAAGGATTGAACCCAGTGCCTCACGCATGGTAGGTGAGGGCTCTACCTCTGAGCCACAACCCCAGACCTTGATCTTTCTTTTTCATCATTACATCCTTAATGACAAAGATATTACCTAGTGCATAATGAGTATTTAACAAAGGTTTTCAGAAGGAATAGATGAGAATCAAGGAGGCACCAAGTATGTGGGCAAATATTTATATTCCCCTAACATTTAGAACTTTTAAAAGTGCTTTAGTGTTTATAATTATATGGCTGAAAACAAGAATATTATATCAAATCAGCAATCAATATTTTGATGCTTCATTGGTCATTTAAGGGTATTATTTAAAAGAAAGACTGATGTTTCTACAAGGAATTAATTTTTTTTTTTTTTTGCACCGCTAAGGATAGACCTCAGCACCTTGCATGTGGTAGGCAATACTCTACCACTGAGTTGCATGTCCAGCAGACTGATGCTTCCAGAAGCCAACCAAGATCATTGGATTTTAAAGTACAATAAGTCTTTAAAAAAAATTTTTTTTTGTTCTAATTAGTTATAATGACAGCTGAAGGCACTTCAATTCAAAGTACACAAATGGAACATGATTTTCCACTTCTCTGGTTGTACAATAAATCCTTAATAGTATAAATTCTTCTAGCAGAATACAGTTTCCACCTAATTAACAAGGCCTAGAATATCTATAGTACAAAATCAAACAGAAGAGATGGTATGAGAATAACTAAGTTAAACAAAAACTAAGTGCAATTGTTGAACCGTATTTGCAGAGAGGATTCATGTTTTTTTCTTCTGAATTGTAGATTAAAGAATCTTCCCTGTAATTTTAGCTGCTCAGACGCTGAGGTGGGAGGATCGCAAGTTCAAGGCTAGTGTCAGCGATTTAGGGAAAATACGTCTCAAAAAAAAAAAAAAAAAAAAAAAGGACTGGGGCTCTCCCAGCCTAAGTCGCAGCGACAAGGCTAAACACACCAAGAAGGTCGGAATTATTAGTAAATATGGGACCCTCTACAGTGCCTCCCTCCAGAAAATGGTTAAGAAATTTGAAATCAGCCAACATGCCAAGTACACTTGCTCCTTCTGTGTCAAAACCAAGATGAAAGAGACCAACTGGGGGGATCTGGCAGTGCTGATCCTGCATTGAAAACAGTGGCTGGTGATGCCTGGACCTACAACACCACTTCCACTCTCACAGTCAAGTCTGCAATCAGAAGGCTGAAAGAATTGGAAAAAACCAGTAGAAGTTCTACCATTTGAGACATCCCTAGCCTATAATAAATGGGCTAATTTATATAACAACAAAAGGACAGGGAACATAGCTCAGTGCTAGAGCGCCCCTGGGTTCAATCCCTAGTACCACAAAACAAACAACCTCTCCCCAAGCTTTGCTGATGGCTCTTTGCTCAACACCCTACTCTTAGGGGTAAAATTTGCCACTTTATACATAAATACAAAGAAAATGATTACACAAGAAGTCAGGATCTTGGAAGGAAAATATAAAAAATAAAAGTAAATAAAAAGCAGCCTCTTGCCACATATGTAATGTGTTCAAGAGCTCTTTCTTTCCCTACCTTTCTTTGTTATTTTTTTAGAGGTAAAGAATAAGGAGGCAGGGGTGGGGTGTAGAATAAGGAATATCTTCTATCTTATCCTATCTTGTCCTTATATGTTCACAAAGAAAGAACAGAAAATCTTGAAGCTAGAGAAATACAAATTCATAGAAAAAAATGGAGGTCTTAAACAAGCAGAATATTTAGGCAGTCCTTATATTTTTTCCTAAGCCTGTTAGTGGACACCTATTTTATCTTTGGTTCTATCTATCTTATCTATGGGTCCTTCTTATAAAAGATATATGATCTGAATAAAGAAAATAAAACCATATTGAGCATTAGGAGGGAAAAAAACCCAAATTTATAGGCAGATATGCACTACAGAAATATTCTCCAAACCTTTGGCAAACTCACTTTGAAACAAAATCACATGATAAGGTACCATAGGAAAAGAAAAAAAATACTAAAATGAGGATGATAAGAGAACCTAAAAGTTCTCCTAATTCAGTAGAATAATCAAGAGAATTCTACTAATTTTTGTACATTAGAACCTGATGTCAGAGGACTTTCAGAAGAATGTCCATTGGAAGAAAATGAAAACATTTTATTAAGTATAAGACAAATGGTCAAAGCGGTAGGAATAAACATATATGGATTTTTAACAAGAAATAATTAAAATAGTTATAAACTGTAGAAAATTCAGAAATTGTATTGAAAAGTCACAGTGTACGCATGAAGCAAGCTGAAATGCAGCATGATCTTGAGAAATGGAGAATAAGAAAAGAGAATCCACTTGGTCTTGACACCTTGAAACAATGCAAACTAGTAGTATAGCATTGTGTTTCCTACTTCCACTTTGGTTCCTTAGTGAACAATATTTAAACCATTATAATATGTTTTAGTCTCTTAAATAATTTAAAAAATTTATGCTCAAACCATAGAGTAAGCACTTCAAGATAATTATATCCCAGGACACAACATAAATATTACACATTTGGCAGGGTTAAATTAATGAGAAAGTTTACAGGATTTAAGAGATAGAAGGAAAGGATGAATGTAAGAAAATACAGGGAATCAAATTGTCTTATTTTAAAAATAATGGGAGAAGTACTGAGATATAAAAATAGAGGTTAAATGGATTATTCAAAGTCCACAAGATAGCCAGCAGAAGAAATATTAGTAATCTTAAGGTCTAATAAGCACAAAGAATGACAAATAATAATTTTAAATCCCCAAATAAAAAGATGATATTATCTACTAACAACAAAATAATAAAAAATTCATTGATAGTGAAAGATAAAATCTTCAACTTTCATGACGGGGAATCAATGAATAGCATGTAAAGTCAGTAAGTCATGAAAAACCTGTAATACCAGCAGCTCAGGAGGCTGAGGCAGAAGGATCGCGAGTTCAAAGCCATCCTCAGGTATTTAGCAAGCCCTGACTAACTTCGTGAGACCCTGTCTCTAAATGAAATTTAAAAAAGGGTGGTGATCTGGTTCAGTGGTTGAGTGCCCCTGGGTTCAATTCCTGGTACTAAAAAAAAAAAGGGCTGGGGTTGTGGCTTCAGCGGTAGAGCACTGCCTAGCACCTATGAGGCCCTGGGTTCTATCCTCAGCACCATATAAAAATAAATAAATGAAATAAAAGGTATTGTGTCCAACTATTTTAAAAAAATAAAATATTTTTAAAAAAAGAAGTCATGAAAAGAAGATATAACTATCTAATTCAAATAAGAGGAAGTAACCAGCAAAAGAAGTACAAAGTACGTTCTATGTAACATTTCAAAAGTTTGACAGTACAAATATGATTTAAAGATGTTTTGATGATTGACATTTGTAACTAAGAGGATAATATCTGGCAAGAAGGTGTTGGAAATAGGAAAATTAATTATTTTTTCTTTTCAAGCTATAATTTCTGTACTTTTTAACTTATCCTTACCGTGTGGATATATTATTTTATGACATAAAAACATAAAACATTTCCTAATAATGAGCTTAGCATTCTTTTCACTGATAGTATTCCAAAGTGTTATGCTATAATTTCATTATAACTATTATATTATAATAGTGTTATTGGACTCAATAATATCCTCATTCCAGGACTTACTTATAAGAAACTCTTAGAATACTAAAACAACATAATACAAGGATAAAATAAACATACTCATGCATGAAATGGTAATAGGCACAGCAATACCACAGAAAAGCTATCAATAATATTCCTGTGAGTATCAGCATCATGATTCCAAACATGTCAACTGAAACATATGAAAAGAAATATGTTTTAATGATAGAAAATATTTCTTACATCTTTATCCTATTATCATTTGTAATGTGATTATCAGATACATATTACAAATCATTATTGGAAATAATGATAAAATAACATGTATCACAAATTCCAATGAAACTGCATTTAATACAATAATCACCAACATCTAAAAATAATCTGGGTGCTAAAAGGAGGTAACCTTTAAATCTTCTCTATTTTGGTAAATGATTAAGGCTCTCATTTATTTTTCTCCATTATTTTTTCTTGAATTACATTTTTGGTATTTTCTCAATAGATAAAATAGCAGATCTTTCAGATTATAAGGATGCACATAGACATCATGATGTGGTTTTTTGTTTGATTCATTATCAAAAAGTCAGCCCAGGCTTGCTAAGAAAGAAGATTTCTAATTCTCACAAACTTTTTATTCCCCTCTACTATGCAGCTTATTGTACTGGAATATTGTAAAATGAAACTAGGAGGGAAAAAATATGAAATTGGAGACTTGAGTTTCTATTCATACTAAATACATACTAAATGCTTCTTTATAAACTGCAAACACCTGTGCTTTAAATATACCTGATAGTACCTGAAGCAACTGGAGACTTGAGGGCAAAATTGTATCTTTTCACTTCAACTAAGAAAAAATAGATAGCTGGTTGTTCTGGATGGGTTCTCTCATATAGTTGGGGTTTCAGATGGAAAGTCTTTTGTTTCAAATTTTTGGAAAGCTTAAAGATACAGGTATATTTTCCTACCTTGATATATTCTATATAACATCTCAAAAGTTTGACAGTACAAATATGACTTAAAGATGTTTTGATGATTGACATTTGTGAAGTCTTAGGGAGTCCTGGTTTTGAAGGGCATTTCTCAATATAGACTACATTAACTGAGAAAATATGTTATAATAGTGCTATTGGGCTCAATGATATCCTAGTTCCAGAACTCGCTTATAAGAAACTCTTGGAATACAAAAACAACATAAGAATACAAACCTCCCTTAACTAGATTATAAATATCATACCTCAGAAATTTTTAAAAATAAAATTTAAAGTATTTAACAAGTCAGATGGCAAGACATCCACCAGTTGGAATGGTGGCTCATAATCTGAATCTACAATGGCTGGAAACAACCAATAAGCATGTATGGGGTCTAGGGAGTACTGATGTACATCCCTGGATTTGCTGTTTTAATAAAGTAAATAGGATAGTTTTAAATGCTTCAAATTAGCAAATCACTACTACTTGCAAGTTGGTGGAATAAAGTACATATAAATTTAAATAAGGAAAACTCACCTTTACAGTTTGACCAAAATATAGAATTGAATGGACACCCAGCAAATGGAAAACAAAATTTTTTGCAAACCTTTTCTTCATTGCACCAAATACACTGTATTTAGAAAGAAAATAATAATAATCAAAGCAGTGTCCACATATTATAATCCAATCACAGTAAGTATTCAATAAATAACAGCCATCATCATCGTCATGATTTATTATTTGTAGTACATGTTATTGGTGGCCTTCTCATGTCTTCTTTACCAGGCCCAAGCACTCAAACCTCAGCTGCAATAAATTTTGTCTGTGATTGACTCACAAATTTCCCTGCTCTTGATTGACTCCCCTTGGTAGATGAGGATCACCTTGCTCTTGAGATTATCCTCACCCTGGACCAGTAACTGACTGGTATGGGGTTCAAAACCATAAGCATCCTTGCCTAAGTCAGGGACAATTCTGCTATGTGATTTTTTTTTAAAGTTGTAAATGGACACAATATCCTTATTTATTTATTTATTTTTATGTGGTGTTGAGGATTGAACCCAGTGCCTCACACCTGAGGGGCAGGTGCTCTACCACTGAGCTATAGCCCCAGCCCCTGATTTTTTTTTCTTTTTCCTCAAAAGCTGTCCATGATTCAGGGCAAATGTGGGCTTTAGCTGAGACCCTATCTTTTCTTGGCTCTCATCCCTTGTTTTCCTGAATCCTTCATATCTTCATGGGATTTTGCTAATGAACAGCCACTGAAAAATTGCATGGATCTGGATCCCTTTCTCAGACTCTGCATTTAAACCCAAGATACTATGTCACAAAGCAGTAATAAGGGCTGCATTAGATAGTTTTTAAAAATGTCTCCAATACTCTCCTATTCCCCTTGTCTGCAGAAACCACTCTTTCCTCTGGGGAATCTTTCTCTGTTACCATGGCCCTGGTGGTGTTATCAATTAGGCTTATCTCACCTCCCTCTGCCTTCTGCTCATTGGTGGTCAAGTAATCATGTGTAAATAAGAAAGCTGAAGTCCCTTGCTGAAGTAAATGAAAAAAAGGCACAATGGTGAAAACTATTATTAGAAACTATTATAAGAAACAGTTAAAAGAAAAAAAGGACAGAGTGGTAAAAATGGCTGTCACATAGGAACTACCATGTGACAGGTATTGTTCTGTCTTTCATGCATTCTCACTCCATCCTTTTGAAAACTTTGTGTGCTAGATACCATTATGTCCACTTTATAAATGAGGACAATAAGGCACACAGCAACTACATGACTTATACAATATGGTCACAGGGCTAGTAAATAGGAGAGTTTGTATTGGAAGCTAAGCAGCCTGGCTCTGTGCTGGTAACCAATTCTGTAAGAGTGGTTCCAAGTCCCTTCCAATCACCTCTTGCTATACATCCTAAAACCAGGAAAGGTAATGATTCACCCAATGTAAAGAACTACCCCAGACACACTGCTTGAGAACAAGAGATGGCTAAAGTTTTTTTTTTTTTTTCATGTTGGTCAAGATCAAAGGTCAAGTCATTTAAGCAAATCTTGGATGGAAGCCACTAAGGCTGAATGGGTCCTGTATTCTTAGACCATTGCTTAAAGACTGAAACTGCAAAGATAAGACCTAGATTCAAGGACTATCCATTTTTTTATTTTTTAGTTGTAGTTGGACACAATATCTTTATTTTATTCATATATTTTTATGCGGTGCTGAGGATCGAACCCAGGGTCTCGCATATGAAAGGCGAGTGCTCTACCACTGAGCCACAACCCCAGCCCTCAAGGACTATCTTATAGAGAGACTTCTAGTCTTGGTTGTTAGTTCTCAGAGTTTTGAAAAATCAAGCCCATTCCATCTAGCAGAGTTTTAAGGAAGATAAATTTCCAGAATAAACTTGAACCCAGCAGAGAGGAATATGTGGTAACTCAATTGCTGAGCTGATTCCCAGGCTCCAGTAACCTAGTCTACAGCAGGGAAGCTCTGATAGCGGCACAGTGCTCAGAGAAGGCTTTCTTTCCTATACTTCTCTCTACTGGGTCCCTGAGAACACTGGAAAAGGAAAAGGGAGCTGTTTCAATAGACCAAGCGTGGGGCAGACTGACTGGTGACCAACCAACTCACTTCTCAGCCAGGGAAACTCAACAGATTATATTATAGACTCAATATGATATAGGACCACTGACTACTATGGTGTCTTCTAAATGAGAGGTTTTACTGTTGTTATCCTGCTTTCTCTTTTCTATTGAATATTGGGTCTTTGGGAGTTGATTTAACTGATTCTGACTCAAAGGAACAAAGCCTAAGGAGCCATATTCAAGCATAATTCAAGAGTAACACATCTCTCTGAGATTCCAGACTTAGACCTTGACAGTGACTTGAGGTCAGTCCAATTTTAGTTGAGACTTAGTGGCATTAATTTTCTAGGAGCACTTTTCAAAATATGGAAATGAAGAAAATAAAATACTCATACTCTGACCAGGAAAAGGGTGAAATACCATAGATTGAAGTAGTTTTATTCCTTTTCTTTTTAAATATTCTCTGTTTTGCATTCCTATTCTCCTTTTTCTGATAATCATACCCTTATCCTTTGTGAAACTCTTTCCCTAATTCTGTATGATCCTGCAGCTAGCTGTCAGTCATCTTTGCCTTACCCATTTCCTACTATTAGAGTGGTCATTTGACCAGGGCACTCAAGAGTAGCATAGACTTTGGCCCAGTAGCTAGTGCTGGACTGAACATAGGTCCAAATATGGCCAATTATATTCTTCTTCAGAGTTATATACAGACATTGGGAGATATTTGCTGGCAGCCAGCCTCTTCTACAGCTGTATGGAGAATGTCCATTTACTGTGGGAGAAAATGAGGTCAACACACAGGAGAGAGGAAAGGAAAGAGAAATGCAAATAATATCCTTTGAGATTCAACTGAACATGAAATAAGGCTACCCAATTTTTTGGGCCAGTGAATTCCCCTTTTGATTAAATTAGTTTGCATTGGCTTCTCCCACTTACCACAACAAAAATGTGATACCTTAACTATCTTGACTAAGTCTAAAATGTCCTCAAAAATGACAACTTCATACTCATTGTCCAGAGGAAAATTATAACATATTCAACATCCTGAGACTGGTAATGTATAATTTAGGACAAATTACAAGGATCTTTTTCTTGTAGGTAAGGAAGAAGACCCATATGAGTTCTTACCAACCTCCCATCTCTTATTAGTGTAACAACTGAGAAGCCAGCTGAAAGGCTTTAGGGTAATTATTATAATTGCCCTTTAGGAAAATTAGAGTACCCAATTTAGGGTATAAGCCTGTTTTAGTAAGCTTATATGGACATTGAAATTTCTATTTTATGAAGAAATATCACTGAAATTAAAAAATTGCAAAAGGGGAAGGTACACAATTATGTTTAGTAGTTTGTTAACATTGTATAAAATGGCTTAATATTATATTGGCAAAGAAATAGAAAATGAGTATTATTATGTAAAGGGGGATTTGAAAACAGTGGACACTGAACACAAAAAAAGAGCATTTACAGGATATATATTGGTAAATGTTAGATGCAGAAGAGATTACAGGTGTACAAAGCACTGTTTTTGTTTTCTGGAGGGTCAATTTAATGGGTGGGTAAAATATGTACACTTTACAAAATTACATACAATTCTAAGTGGAAGAATATTCTCTCAAAGTGTTGGAACATGTACAAAATGTAATAGGAATTAAGAGGAGAGCTCACTTTTCGCTGGAGTGACTACACAGGTTTCTTTCAAAGAATAAGGAGAGGTTGGCCTAAGTTTTGAGGAGTGGGGTGGGTCAAATGTGTACAGAAAAGGAGGGACTTGAATACAGAAGATATGACAGCATGAAAATCTTGCCACATGGCAAGAGGGAAAGTCTGCTATGGTGGAGTTGTATAGAATAATTTGGAAGGATCATCTTCTCTTGGATTGTGATGGGTCCTGAATGTTAGAATAAGGAGCATTTCATCTTAATAACTGAATTATTTGCAGCTAAAGGTGAACATGAAAGAGTGTTAAATGACAACAATAAACCAAAAGGGCCTGGAGGGATAAGCAGTAGTGGGATAGGGGTGTGGGAAGTCCAGCAATCAGCTGAAAGAAAAGAATGGACCATAGATTCTTTAAAGAAGACAAAGGAGCTAGAGATTTCTAAAATTATTATATGGGTATGGAGAATGGTACCAGTAATAAATATGGGAAATGAGCATATTTGTGGGAGACAAAATCATAAATCTAGCTTTAGATACCTTGAGCTTGAGGTGATAAAAGAAATTATCCAAGAATAATTGTTGATCAAGCAATGTAATCATGACTACCAGGAGCTGTTAGATCTAAGAACATGAATTTGGGGTTTCTTGATACTTACATAATCATGGAAGCCATGACCAGTTGGGATAGCACAGGGATGAGGACACAGTACTAGGATGTGCTCTCAGGTAGAAATATAAATAAGAAGGGTTGGCAAGGGTAGTTGCATAAAGTGAAGATCACCAGGGAAGGAGCAAGTTTCCAGAATGATGAGTGCCTAACTAGAAAGATTAGGGTTTTAGAGAGTTTTTTGGTAACCTTTAAAACAGTTTGTTAAATATTCAGTCACACTGCATGACAAGCAGTGGTAGAATAAATACTATAGCTATTAAAAAAAAAGTGGGTTTTTTTAATGTGTGTGTGTCCCCCCCACCACCACCACATTTTGTCAGAACTCAGAAAGAAAGACATTGCAGAGACTGGATTTAGACTGGATTTGTCAGAGAGGCAACAAGAAAATGAGAAAGGCTTTGAGTTTGTGAATGTGCATGTTTCTGAGTGGAATGCTTGCATGAGGCAAAGACTAAGAGGTTAGCCTTGGGAATTAAAATAGGTTTCTTAAAGGGAAAGAGTAAGAGAAAAGACATTGAGTTGGTGAAAATAATAATAATAATAATAATAGAACCTGAGCCTGTCAAATGGCCTTAACATTCTCAAGGAAAATCAAACTTCAGAAGAAGTGTCGTACCAAGATTAAGGAAAGGTGTTGGGAATAGTGCCATGGAAAATAATCCTTGAGACTGGTTCCCACCCCATCCACCTAGGGACTTTTGACAGGTGATACCCACATACACACTGGCATATCCAGATTTGGATCCATAGCCCTATTCACCTTCCCCTACCCCATGTCCTAACTATCACAAGCATCTGTGCCTATGTACACATACTTTTAAAGAAAAATAGATAACAAAATGGGTATCGTTGTTGGGTAGGAGTTGTGGCATTTATATTTTACAAACATGGTCATTTTATTTGAACTATTAAATAGATAAGGTAGACTGTGGGAGATTCACAAGTCCATTAGGTTTGTTGTAACTTCACACCTTTCTGTCCTAATAATCCATATCAGGATGCAATAAGTAGAAAGATTTGATTATGAAGAAAGCCTAGGATCTACTCTTATTTTTAAAGTCTGTTGCAAAACTCAGTCATATAACTCTCATTAGCAAAAAATAAAAATTATTTATGACAGTCTCACCATTGTAACATCACAATTAATAACTATTTAAAGGATTTCACAGTGATGCATAACAACTCTAAATAGCAATGAGGATCCAAGTAAAGCAGTGTTTAGCCTGTTTTAGTCAGTATGGCTTTAGAAATTTTATTAATAATGGAGGAGAATATATCAACAAAAATTTTCTTTTCACATGGTGTATTTATGACTAATGTGTTGTGAGGTAGGGTTATGAATGAGTTGCTTTTTTGTGGATTTGGTTTTGGTAAGAATATATTCTAACTCTTAAGAAGGTCTGCCTACACTTTTTAATTTCAAGGAAAAGTTTTAGATTGGATCCAGTTAATATTCTCTTACAGCTAAGAAAGATAAGCATATAATTTATCATTCTAAGTAGAATACTTTGGGAAACTAGCAGTGGGTATAAATAATTTCTCTGGGTCAATGAAGCAAAGGACATAAAGTAGGACAGTCCCAGACATATCACAACATCTGTTCATCCTTTTTTTAGTCCAAGAAGAACTCAAGTATTCTTGGTTGCTTCATGAATTACCATCTATAAATCCTGGCACTCTCTCTGGGAGGTGGCAGGAGCTGTCAGTGAAAGCCTGTGTCCTTCCAAATTGGGGGAGGACAGGGAATCTTTTTCAAAAGATGATACCCTAATTCTATGTTGACTATGGGAATTATCCTTCAGTTAATTTCTATGAGGTACTGGTAATATTTTAAAAACTACATTCAAATACATATATCCCCAGAATTGCCATATAGACACTTATGTTTAGAAAAGTTTTAGGATAAAATTATCGACCTTTTTCCATTATATAGTGTACTAAATGTAATTTAACTTCTTCTAATGGCTTGAGTTAATTCAGTACTTACTGAATGCTTGCAGGTGCTAGGAAATATGTGAAGTGTTACAGATGCAAAGATGACTAAAACATAGACAGTCCAGGGAACTGAGAACAGAGGGAAAGTGAGAACAAAAACAATTTATATGATACAAGTTACAATTTAAAAATGTATGTAAGTTCAAAAGAGAGGTGTAGGGGAACAGAAGGAGTAATCTTCTAAGAGGAATGGTAAGGGTGGGTAAAAAAATGACAGTAAATGTATTGATTTGGGGAGTGAAGTTTATACCTAAAGTCTCTATTTTTATGTAGATTAATGGGGTATGGGATAAGATTGGACCTTTAAAGATGGTCACAAAGTTTTGAAATTACTGCTATGGGGAATTTTAGGAAACGCTGCCAACCAAAGGCAAGTACTGAGTAGCATTTGGGCTCAGGTGAACCCAGAAATTGTGAATTTGTAATGGTACTAATGCAGATTCTCATGATATATGCTTGAGCAGCAATCAGCTAACAAAAATGCACAGTAAATGAATACATAGACTGAAGGACCCATCAGAGCTGGGAAATATAGATCCAGCATAGTTAAAAATAAGAGGGCAAGGCTATTAAAGTAGTATTTGTTGCTGCAACCCCCAAGAATAAAATGGATCCAGGCAAGAATCATTTTTGGCTGCTTGCATCATCAAATGCTGAACAACAGTCCTCATTCACCATTCAATAAAAGTTTTCAATGTGAAATATTCCTGCCAAAAAATTAAACTGAACTTTATTAATCCTCTATATCTATTTACCAGTTTATAAGAACAGAACAGCTGAGAACACCTGTAATCCCAGCTATTCAGGAGGCTGAGGTAGGAAGATCACAAGTTCAAGGCCAGCCTGCGCAACTTAAGGAGATCCTGTCTCAAAATAAAACTAAAAAGAGCCAGGGGCATAGTTTAGTGGTAGACAGTTTGCCTAGCATATGCAAGGCCCTGGATTTAATCCTTAGTACCAAGAAAAAAAATCAGGAAAAAGAGGAACCTGGATGTGATCAGCAAAACCCAGACTGTAGGAAACCCAATGGGACAAACAATTCAGCTTCTTCTTTATTACAATTAAGTTGTAATAAAGAAAAAAAAAGAGGGAAAAGAATAAATAGTTTAAAAGAAACTTAAGTTATATAGCAGTCAGTTTCAGCATATATATCTGAACTAAACAAAAACATGAAACAAGGCTAATTGGTTATTTCCTGGGAACTTGATGATATTAAGAAGTCACTGTTAATTTCTAGGTGTGATCATGGACTTGTAATATTTTAAAGTAAAGACCTTATGTATTAGACATACATACCTATATATTTACAAATAAATTATATGGTATCTACATCATTATTTAGTTCAAAATAATCAATTGTGAGAGGGAGGGCATAGATGAAACAAGGTTGACTGAGATAATTCTTGGAGGTATAGGATGTATAAAATTTTATTATACTATTCTCTCTCTCATACACACACACACACGTGTGTGTGTGTGTGTATACATATATATGTATGTATGTGTGTGTATATATATATATATATATATATATATATATATACCTCTAGACACAGACTTATATATATATATACACTTTTTGTTAGGTTTTTGTTTTGGCACTGGGGATTGAACCCAGGGACCCAGGAGCACTTAACCACTGAACCCATCTTCAGTCCTTTTTAAATAATTTATTTAGGGACAGGGTCTCACTAAGTTGTTTAGGGCCTTGCTAACTTGCTGAGGCTGGCTTTGAACTCATGATCCTCTTGCCTCAGCCTCCCAAGCCGCTGGGATTATAGGAGTGCACCATCATGCCAGGTTATTGTTGTTTTTGAGACGGGGTCTTGCTATGTTACTAGGCTGGCCTTGAACTCCTGGGCTCAAGTGATCCTCCTGCTACAGCCTCCCAAGTAGTTGGGACTATAGTCACACACCATAGTGCCTAGCTCTGTTTTCTCTATTTTTATACATGAATATTTCCAGTGTAAAATATTTAGCAATGAAAAAGCAGGAGAATATTCATCCAGGTGAACAGCCATGAAAATTCACAAGGAAGGAAGGAAGGAAGTCCATTAAGAAAGAGTCAATAACCTTGAAGGAAAAAGGAGAGGGTGAAAGGACTGAAAAGTACTCTTTCTTGTTAAGTCCAAAGAGTAGGTACCATGTTGGGAAATGGGAAAGTGATGTTCAGTGTAAATTGTGCAGGGTTCAGAGTATGTGGTGGAAGTGATATCCTATAGTGATATCCTATGCATGGTGTTGAGAAGGTGAAGACACTGAGATAGAGTGTTTCTAGCTTTTTCTGGCTTCAGAAAGTTTCCAAGGCCGAGAATAAACTGGACCAAGAATTCCATGAGCCAGAAGAAGCTCTAGTCCTCATTAAAGCAGAAGAGTGACCTGGAGGAAGATAAGAGGCACATCGTGGTATGTGCAGATCACCATGACAGATACCAATTACTAGAATGTCCTCTTTGCTAATTAGAGTTTTTTCTTCTGTCTTTGGTGTTAATAGTCAATTCTCCAATATAGATTAGACTAGAATGGTTTTGTAAGGGTTGCTGCAAAGCTCTCTGTGGCACAAGTAATACCATTTCCCCCATTGCCTCTGGTATTTCTAATTTCTTCCAAATCTGAAGTGAAGAATAAAGATGTCAGACATTTAATCATCAGAGAAGAGGACCTTAGCTACACTTAGGAACTGTGTGTCACACTCTATTATTTAGGGATTAGAATTGGCAAGGAAATATTCACTGAATCTCAAAAGACATATTTTCTTTTCTTCCAAAACTTCTTCCAAAATTTCAGTGTGATTTTCTTTTTCAAGCCAAGAATTGTTTTCTTTCTAAAATATAATATTCTAGAAGAAAGTACATATTCCATCTAAATTATTTCCATTATTTATTTCTAGACTCTCAAAGCATGATTTGAAATGGAGAAATAGATTTTAGTAACTGTTATTAGTTATTCCTTTATAAAAAAGTGTATAAAACAACATTTAGCATAGCTTTTTGATGACAATTATAAATGTGTGAATTTATAACATTCCCAAGACAATTGCCTCATAAGAAAGTTAACTTACTTTCTTATCTTCTGTGCACAACTGACAACTATTCTTTTGAGTACATGCTACAAGAAAAAAAAATTAAGTACAAAAATGTAAATCAAAAGCCTATTTATTGCTCAACTTTATAAAAAAGTGCATTTCATTTAGTCATTCCTCTTTCAAGCCATATTCATCCATATGAAAACATTTTACTTCGTTATTTTCACATAGCCAGATACTTTTCCCACCAGCACTGTTTAAATCCTGTAATTTCCTCCTGCTACTCGAAAAAACAAGAAATGGCATCATCCCACATCCATTAGCCAAGTTCTAAAAAACAACTTCCCCCAAAAAATATGAAAAAACAAATTGGAACATCATTGTATATTTACAACATCATACTTCAGAAACCTCTTTTAAGTAACTCTTTTGTTATTCAGCATAATTTTGCCAACACATTCCTGGTTAGCTAATTAGTCTCTTAACTATTGAAAAAGTATAATTCTCCATACTCTTTGGCCCAAAGTTTTAAAAAGTTACCCCAAATAAAGATTTTTATTCTTATGGAAAAAAATAGACAATATAACTTATTTGAAAGTTCTAGAATGAAAACTTTGAGACTGGGGGAAAAAAAGCATTTTGATAGTGCATTATATTATTCTAACATTTTCTTAAAGAAAGGGTCTAGAATTAATGCCCTAGTTGTTTTGTGATATAATAACAATAAAGTCACTCTGCCTATTATTTGGGGGATAGCATTCATATGATCTGCAAGAAAGATCAGACACTTCCATTTAATTTCAAACTGTCTGATTGAATGAAGATCTGAGTTGACTGGGGAAGAATTTTACAATTCAGTTTTCAAATTAAGTCCTATTGAGTGTTTCTTCCATTAACCCAAAAGTATCTTTGAAGTCCCTATGAGAAAGCTGAGTGAAAGAAAAGGCAAGGTAAAAGAGAAAGATTCTACCTTCTGCCATGCCCTGGATGGCTGGCCTCATCCAGAAGATAGGAGCAGGAAAAGGAAGGGCACAAACTTAGCCACTATCCTCCAAACTCCACTTGCTTCCCATGGCTTTTGTTGTTAACTAGAACTTTTATTTTGGAATAATTTAAGAGTTATGGATGCCACATATATTGTGCAGGCAGTTCCTCTATACCTCTCACCCAGTTTCCCCATTTCTAGCGTCTTACACTACTATGATACATTTGTCAAAACTAAGAAACTAATATTAATGTACTATTTTAAACTAAACTCCAGGTGTTATTAATATTTCACCAGTTTTTTACACTAATGTCCTTTTCAGAATCCAAAATCCCACCCAGGATATCACAATGAATTCAATCATCATCTATCCTGGTCTGCAACAATTTCTCAGTCATGCTTGCTTTTCCATACCTGAACAGTCTTGAGAACGGACTTATCAGATATTTGGTAGCACACCTCTTAATTTGTATTTATCTGATATTTTTCACACAATTAGATTGTGAACTTGGGTTTTGGACAAAACAACAAAATAAACTGCAGAGGTGAAGTCCCCCGCTCATGTCAGTCTATAAAAGAGGTTTAAATTGAGCATTTTGGTAAATAAGCAGCAATCTCTTTCTCTAATAGTCATTCTTGCTCTCACTGGAAAAACCAATCAGGGGACAACTCACCTATGTGCTACAAAAATCAGTAGGATCTTTCTTTTGTTGTGTTCCAGAAGAAAGAAGTATTAGCTATTTCTTTCTTTCTTCCCTTTATAGTGATATATATATATATATATATATATATATATATATATATATATATATATGAAATCATAAATATGTATGTAATGTATATATACACATTAATAATGTATATATGTATGCAATCATATATATATATATATGTACTGGGGATTTAATACAGGGGAACTCAACCACTGAGCCACATCCCCAGTCCTATTTTGTATTTTCTTTAGAAGTAGGGTCTCACTGAGTTGCTTAACACCTCGATTTATGAAGCTGGCTTTGAACTCATGATCCTAATGCCTCAGCCTTCCAAGCTACTGGGATTATAGGCATGCACAATCATGCCCAGCCTTATATAATTTTTTATTTCTTCTAATTAGTTATACATAATAGTAGAATGTATTTTGACATCTATATATATGGAGTATAACTTCTCATTCATCTGGTTGTACATGATGTAGAATTACATTGGTCATGTAATCATATATGCACATAGGATAGTAATGTCTGATTTATTCTACTATCTTTCCTATTCCATTCTCCCTCCCTTCCCTTCATTCTCCTCTGTCTAATCCAAAATACTTCACTGATTGTGAATTAGCATCTGCATATCAGACAAAATATTCAGCCTTCAGTTTTTGGGGATTGGCTTATTTCACTTAGTATGATAGTCTCCAGTTTTCAACCATTTACCAGCAAATGCCATAATTTCATTCATCCTCATGGCTGAGTATTTTCCATTGTGTATTTCTTTATCCATTCATCTATTGAAGGGCACCTAAGTTGGTCCCATAGCTTAGCTATTGTGAATTAAGCTGCTATAAACATTGACATGGCCATGCCACTGTAGTATGCTGATCTTAAGTCCTTTGAGTATAAATTGAGGAGTGGGATAACTGGGTCAAATGGTGGTTCCATTCCAAGTTTTCTGAGGAATCTCCATACTGCTTTTCATAGTGGTTACACCAATTTATAATCCTACCAGCAATGTATGAGTGCACTTCTTCCCTACATCCTCGCCAACCTTTACTGTTGCTTATATTCTTGATAATAGCCATTCTGACTGGAGTGAGATGAAATCTCAGTGTAGTTTTGATTTGCATTTCTCTAATTGCTAGAGATGTTGAACATTTCTCATATGTTTCTTGACCAGTCTTCTTCTTCTGTGAAGTGTCTGTTCAGATCCTTAGCCCATTTATTGATTGGGTTATTTGGTTTTTTGGTGTTAAGTTTTTTGAGTTCTTTATATATCCTGAAGATTAATCTCTATCTGAGATGCAAGTGGCAAAGACTTTCTCCCATTCCGTAGGCTGTCTCTTCCTGTTCTTGATTGTTTCCTTTGCTGAGAAAAAACCTTTATAGTTTGAATCCATCCCATTTATTTGATTCTTGATTTTACTTCTTGCGCTTTAGGAGTCTTGTTGAGGAAATCAGTTCCTAAACCAACATGATGGAGATTTGGCTTACGTTTTCTTCTATCAGGCTCAGGGTCTCAGTTCTAAGGCCTAAGTACTTGACCCACATTGAGTTGAGTTTTGTGCAGTTTGAAAGACAGGGGTTTAATTTCATTTTGCTACATACAGATTTCCAGTTTTCCCAGCACCATTTGCTGAAGTGGCTATCTTTTCTCCAATGTATGTTTTTGGTGCCTTTGTCGAGTATGAGATAACTGCATTTATGTGGATTTGTCTCTGTATCTTCTATTCTGTACCACCAGTCTACATATCTATTTTGGTGCCAATACAGAGATGTTTTTGTTACTATAGCTCTGTAGTATAATTTAAGGTCTGGTATTGTGATGCCTGCTGCTTCAGTTTTCTCGCTAAGGATTGCTTTGACTATTCTTGGTCTCTTATTTTTCCAAATGAATTTCATGATTGCTTTTTCTATTTCTATTTCTATGAAGAATGTTGTTGGAATTTTATTAAGAATTGCATTAAATCTGTATAGTGCTTTTGGTAGTATGGCCATTTTGAGAATGTTAATTCTGTCTATCCAAGAACATGGGAGATCTTTCCATCTTTTAAGGTCTTCAATTTCTTTTGAGTATGTGATGCCTGCTGCTTCAGTTTTGTAGTTTTCATTGTAGAGGTCTTTCACCTCTTTTGTTAGATTGATTCCCAGTTTTTTTTTTTTTTTGAGACTACTGTGAATGGGGTAGTTTCCCTAATTTCTCTTTCAGTAGCTTCATCACTGATGCATAGGAATGCATTTAATTTATGTAAAAACTATATATGCTAAACCCAAGGCCAACATCATTCTAAATGGAGAAAAACTGAAAGCATTTCCTCTAAAAACTGGAAAAAGACAAGGATGCCTTCTTTCACTTTTTTTTTTTTTTTTTGGTGGGGGTAAGGGGGTACTAGGGATTGAACTCAGGGACACCTGACCACTGAGCCACATCCCAAGCTCATTTTTGTATTTTATTTAGAGACAGAATCTCACTGATTTGCCTAGCACCATGTTTTTTTGCTGAGGCTGGCTTTGAACTTGCGATCTTCCTGTCTCAGCCTCCCAAGCTGCTGGGATTACAGGTGTGTGTCAGTGCTCCCGGCTCTTTCACCACTTTTATTCAACATTATCCCTGAAACTCTAGCCAGAGCAATTAGAAGAAAGAAATTAAAGGTATATGAATAGGAAAAGAACTCAAACTATCCCTATTTGCCAACAACATAATTCTATATTTAGAAAATCCAAAAAATTCTACCAGAAAACTTTTGGAATTCATAAATGAATTCACCAAAGTAGCAGTTATTAGCTATTTCTAAGGAATTTTCAGGTCCCAGATTCTTCACCCTGAAGACCTAATGCTTGTATGGTTAGTTTCTATCTGATTACTTCCTTCTTCATGACTATATTTTTCATGATGCCTGCAGCATTGTTTTCTCCTAGTACTCTCTTTTAAAATAACTTTATTTATCTATCTATTTACTTATTTATTATGTGGTGCTGAGGATCGAATCCAGGGCCTTGCATGTGGGAGGCAAGCGCTCTACCGCTGAACCACAACCCAGCCCCATCTCCTAGTACTCTTGAAACATCTCTGGTTATTCTTTTTGAGTTTCCTTGACACAGCCAATATCCAAAATGGTTGCTACTCCATAAAGTTCCATTCTTGGTCCTCTTTTCTTCTCCCATGAAGGATCACAATTTCAAATGCCTAGAGATGCCCAGCATCAACATATATTATGCTATATATCAGATCAAAACTTCCTTTTTTATTGCTATTGTAATTAATTAATAAATTAATAGTTTAAAAAATAAAGTTATCTGGAATTTTTCGAGAACAGCTAAGAGAAAAAATGAATAAGAAGGTTTTACATATTAAAATTCTCTATAGCCTCATACTGTATTTACTTGATAT